GATGTTTTCGGCACCAAATCGCATATTTCCCGATAAAATATGGCAGATGGAAGTAAATAACGTCTACAAAGGTGATATTTCACAGTAATAAAGAAGTATTTGGTTCATAACTGGGTCGTATGGGGTAGTATTGGGTAGTATTGGGTGGTATTGGGTAGTATTGGGTAATTAGACGCGCCGGTATATATACCTATAAATTAAAGCTGTATTGAGCTATATTTTCTCTGATTTCAATTTTCATTAAATTAAAGCAAAGTCGCATAAAACAATAAGGTTTTTGGTAATGGTGACTACAAAAAGCATACAGTTAGATGTTTATTTTCATTTTTCATAAATGTAAAATTTCGGATTTTTTTTACCTCATTAGTTTTTTAAAAAGAATACTTATATTTGATATCTTTTGTTATCAATCTAATGATACAATCTTCTTTTAAAAGCGACACTTAAAGTGTTTTGTTTTCCTTAAAAAAGAAAATCGCTTGAAAAAAGCTCAAAAGACCTATTTTAGATAGAGCTATTATAGGTCTTTACAGCTATATAGCTCAATCGGCAGAGTGTACTGGACCTGATTATAGCGATGAATGACAGGTTCCCGCAATGCTTTCTATGAACCAGCTGTTTTATATGTTTCGATATATGGAAGGTGTCGTGTTTAATTCTTTATTTCTATAATAGTGTCACGGCGTGAACCAACATTAAAACATATTATTTTCACCCCATCATATCATTCATGAGCTTTCATTAGGTCAGGCAAAACATCAGGGGGCTGTACCTTTATGTGGAACAACCAGTTTGTCTATTTTGAAATGAAACCTTTTTTTATATATATCCGTGCAGACCTTTTTAATGTTTATGCAGGCCTTGCAATGCTTAATGAAGGCTTGCCCTATATAAAAGCAGCATCAGATTACTATGTCCTACCTTATATCACAAACAAACAACGATGGTCAAACCGGTTCTACCGTTTGGATCGCGATAACAAAAGCGGCCTATATATAGCTAGTCACTGTCACATGAGGGTAAATCCTTCGTTTGGGAAACATTTATACCGTTAACAGTTACAATTTCGCCAATGATAATAAAGTATGATGAAAACACGTCAATTAAATCACATACATGTTATATATTAGGTAGTCCAAATAATTCTGAAGTTTTATTGTTAATATTGACTTTTTTTTTATATCAGTCTGTCGTCGATTAACGTCAGAACTCCAGCCCTCTATAATATGCGGGAAATAAGCGACCCGCGCCTGGGTCGCTCTTCAAACTTATATTTTAGAAACAAATTGTCACTTTCACACATGTCGCACATGGATCGAAAGATCTATTCTTAATGCACAAGATGAACATAAATAACATGCCTCAAACAACCAATACAATCACTATAAAAACATATTTTTTCAAACTTACTCTGTTAAATTACTTTACGTTTTTGAAAGCCCACGCCTTCTAATGGCATGTGACTAAAATCTTGACGGCCTACGTCATAACGTTGGAAAATACCTTCGGTAGTGCATAAAGAATAAATGTTGAGATCCATATGCGACATGTGTGTGAAAGTGACGATTTGTTTCTAAAATATCAGTTTGAAGAGCGACCCAGACGCGGGTCGCTTATTTCCCTCATATTATAGAGGGCCGGAGTTCTGATGTTAATCGTTGACAGACCGATATAAAAGAGTCGATACAACGTCAGAATAATTCGCACTAATATAAGGGCACGTTGGCCCCTCATATGGGCAATAATCCAGCGTTTTGGTAACAGAATGGGGAATAAAGTGATAAAAAACACAACTTAACGAAGTTAACGTTATTCATTAAGAAGTATTAAATTCAATATCTGGTGACATGAAACGTTAAATATAAATATATGTATACATTGCAGCATTTCTGCGTTCAGCCATGGCGCAGTACAAGATTTACGACCCAGAAGAGATGATTGAGTGTCCCTATGACAAGGTGCACATGATTGCTGCCAAACGCATGCAGTATCATATGATGAAGTGTCGCAGGGTAAGCGTAACTTTTGTTTTATATGATGACGTCCATGTTTAGATTTACATACATGTGAGAGAAATAGAGGAGNGGGGGGGGGGTTGTATTTACAATTTATGCTTAGAAAATAACTGTAGCTCACAAGCAGATTTTGAAAGAGTTAACTTGCAGAAAAAACATGTACACTATATATTTATATTGTGGTCTTTGTTTTCACAGACCCTGACATAAAATTTAGATATACAAGTTGTGGTCTTGTGTTAGTGTTCATCTGAGATAGCACCAATGTATTGTGAACATTGACATTAAATGTTTCATGAGGACTTCAGCATGAAATCACTCCAAAAGTCAGATTGAAAAATTCCATTTATACCAAGACAAAAACAATGGTATTGTCATATATTGCTTATTTAGTATTGAATCAACATCCACAGTGTATTACAATTGTATGTCTACTGTGATACACTGTTGTCCTCCTGTTCAGAATCATCCTGGAGCCGACTTTGCTGTATGTCCGTACAATGCCCGCCATGAAGTACGTAAGCCAGAGTTAAGGTACCACATGGTCAACTGCCCGGACAAAGCCCGGCTGGAACCGTCCATCCTCCATGGTAAGTCTTTCTAATGAGACATTAGTGAGTCAACGCTCTTGCTCCATCACTAGATGGCACTGCTTGCTCTGACGTCACTAGATGGCACTGCTTGCTCCGTCACTAGATCAGTAGATGACACTGCTTGCTCCGTCACTAGATGACACTGCTTGCTCCGTCACTAGATGGCACTGCTTGCTCCGTCACTAGATGACACTGCTTGCTCCATCACTAGATGACACTGCTTGCTCCGTCACTAGATGACACTGCTTGCTCTGACGTCACTAGATGGCACTGCTTGCTCCATCACTAGATGGCACTGCTTGCTCCGTCACTAGATGGCACTGCTTGCTCCGATGTCACTAGATGGCACTGCCTGCTCCGACGTCACTAGATGGCACTGCTGAACTTGGTCCTACACATCTAATGCTGACATTGTATGCCAATGCAACAGACAACGATTCTTTCAAAATATTCATCAGCAGAACAAGCAGAAACAGTATTGTGATTAGTTTTTGTTTAAAAACTGAAACTTGTTAAATTAATTATATAGTTAAATGTAAAAACATTTGCACCTCATGTTTAAAATCTGTTAAAAGAAATTAAAAATTAAACAATGACACTTTTCATTTGAAGTGCCTTCCATTAAAATCATTATGCATTTAGGGAAACATAAAAGGCTTTCATAAATTTGATATTTTTTCATACAAGTATGCCAGAATTCGTGGAGACCAATCTGTGAGTTTTACAATCATTTTAAGGGAATTCAGGTTAAAATAAGGGAGGTTTTATTCGCCGCGTTTTTCACGGCAAAATGTCTTATCTTACTCAACTAAATTAATGAAATAAAGCACAAAATCTTGAAGCAATGAATTTTGTTTTTACTTTAGCATTTTTAGCTCACCTGGCACGAAGTGCCAAGTGAGTTTATGCCGTGGCGCGGCGGCCGTCGTCCGGCGTCAATATTTTACTTTAAACGACTTCTTCTTAATAACCGAAAGGCCTAGGGTGTCGATATTTGGCCAGAAGCAAACTGGGATGAAGATCACTTTTAAGGTTGCAAGTGTGAGATTTATACCAGGTGAGCGATGCAGGCCCATTGGGCCTCTTGTTTTTTGTATATATTGAATATGATTATATATATTTAATAGCACAAAGTTTACAAAACAAAATATCACATAGTTGAGATATACTGAAGAAGCAGATTTTACTTTAAATTTCAAAATTTAGTTAGACAGGCCAATATATATTCACAGCAGCCACAGTACTTCTGATGTTCAATTTAAACATTGAACTGTGTATTTGGATCATGCAAGGATAATAGTTGTCTATGTTCATTTACATTTGAACTTCTTGATAATGTAACAAAATGTTAAAACATGCAATTTAACAAGAGGACAGAAATAATCAGATGTGAAAGTGAAGAAAACTGTGTTCAGTATTTGAACTTTTAAATTACATATTTCAGCATTCAGAACAAAGATTTTTTCCATCTTCATGACATACCCTTAATACATTTACCGGTCGTTCTCTCTACTTTTGTAGTGAAATTATATTTGTAAACAAACGCGTAGCCGGACATTGTATTTATCAAAGTTTCTAGCAATGAACTAACCTTACAAACAAGGCAGAAAACATGTTTTGTGCTAATTCTACTGACTGTGTGAGCTATCAACTTCAGGGAAGTTTGACATGTGTGTCTTTAGTTACAGTAAAACTATTTGTTTGGTTTGCATATGTTTTGAACATAGTACTGTACTCATGGAATTGTACACTACTGTAACTGGAAAGTACTGTACTCATGGAATTGTACACTACTGTAACTGGAAAGTACTGTACTCATGGAATTGTACACTACTGTAACTGGAAAGTACTGTACTCATGGAATTGTACACTACTGTAACTGGAAAGTACTGTACTCATGGAATTGTACACTACTGTAACTGGAAAGTACTGTACTCATGGAATTGTACACTACTGTAACTGGAAAGTACTGTACTCATGGAATTGTACACTACTGTAACTGGAAAGTACTGTACTCATGGAATTGTACACTACTGTAACTGGAAAGTACTGTACTCATGGAATTGTACACTACTGTAACTGGAAAGTACTGTACTCATGGAATTGTACACTACTGTAACTGGAAAGTACTGTACTCATGGAATTGTACACTACTGTAACTGGAAAGTACTGTACTCATGGAATTGTACACTACTGTAACTGGAAAGTACTGTACTCATGGAATTGTACACTACTGTAACTGGAAAGTACTGTACTCATGGAATTGTACACTACTGTAACTGGAAAGTACTGTACTCATGGAATTGTACACTACTGTAACTGGAAAGTACTGTACTCATGGAATTGTACACTACTGTAACTGGAAAGTACTGTACTCATGGAATTGTACACTACTGTAACTGGAAAGTACTGTACTCATGGAATTGTACACTACTGTAACTGGAAAGTACTGTACTCGTGGAATTGTACACTACTGTAACTGGATAGTACTGTACTCATGGAATTGTACACTACTGTAACTGGAAAGTACTGTACTCGTGGACTTGTACACTACTGTAACTGGAATAAAAAGTTAAATTAACTCCTACTCATTGTAATATTTTGTTTCAGAACAAAACAAGCAGAACCATGATGGTCAGTACTTCAAAGGTAACACAGACCTGCCATGTTATGCTGACAGCAGCAAGTTTGAATCTGTTGAGAACTGGGATGAAGGTGAGAGAGTTGGGCTAAAAACTTGTATTTTTATGAAATTTAAATTGGCATTTTTTGTCTTATGATATACTGGGACTTCTGATATACTGAGACATTGAAACAAGTTCTCAATTCCATCTGATTTAACTGAATGTTATACAAAGGTTTCTTTCAATGTCCTTACCACATGTTTTATCTGAACTCTTTGGGTCAGTCTGAGATGGGCACCGTAGTCCAAATTATGTGGAAACATCATCTGGGATGGTCATAATAAAACACTGCATGTTAGAGAAATATGTCTTGTAAACTAATTAAGATATAATTTCATACTAAGGAAATCAATTGACTTGTAGAGATTCCAAGTGTTGCCCGAATAGGTGTGGATCCCAACTACTTCATGAGGCTCAATGCTAGAAACACGGCTGGGTAAGTAAATATGTGTGAGGCTCAATGCTAGAAACACGGCTGGGTAAGTAAGTATGTGTGAGGCTCAACGCTAGAAACACGGCTGGGTAAGTAAGTATGTGTGAGGCTCAACGCTAGAAACACGGCTGGGTAAGTAAATATGTGTGAGGCTCAACGCTGGAAACACGGCTGGGTAAGTAAATATGTGTGAGGCTCAACGCTAGAAACACGGCTGGGTAAGTAAATATGTGTGAGGCTCAACGCTAGAAACACGGCTGGGTAAGTAAATATGTGTGAGGCTCAACGCTAGAAACACGGCTGGGTAAGTAAATATGTGTGAGGCTCAACGCTAGAAACACGGCTGGGTAAGTAAATATGTGTGAGGCTCAACGCTAGAAACACGGCTGGGTAAGTAAATATGTGTGAGGCTCAACGCTAGAAACACGGCTGGGTAAGTAAATATGTGTGAGGCTCAACGCTAGAAACACGGCTGGGTAAGTAAATATGTGTGAGGCTCAACGCTAGAAACACGGCTGGGTAAGTAAATATGTGTGAGGCTCAACGCTAGAAACACGGCTGGGTAAGTAAATATGTGTGAGGCTCAACGCTAGAAACACGACTGGGTAAGTAAATATGTGTGAGGCTCAATGCTAGAAACACGGCTGGGTAAGTAAATATGTGTGAGGCTCAACGCTAGAAACACGGCTGGGTAAGTAAATATTTGAGAGACTAAATGCTAGAAACACGGCTGGGTAAGTAAATATGTGTGAGGCTCAACGCTAGAAACACGACTGGGTAAGTAAATATTTGAGAGACTAAATGCTAGAAACACGGCTGGGTAAGTAAATATGTGTGAGGCTCAACGCTAGAAACACGACTGGGTAAGTAAATATTTGAGAGACTAAATGCTAGAAACACGGCTGGGTAAGTAAATAGTAATGACTTGGTAGTAAATGATTGTGCTAGGAACGTTAACACAGCTGATTGAATGACATTTTATAAAGTTCTTGGCTGGGTAATAGTAGTTCATAAACTTAGACAAATGCATACCAATATTTCTTAAGTATTGAATTCTAAAGGTTGGGAGAAGTGAAGACAACAGGAAAATAAGCTTCATGTCAGTTCAGGAATTTACCAGTCTTTATCCATGAAAAAATTCATATCACGGAATAAGTTTAAGGATATGTAAATTTGTTTTCAGAATGTCTACAAAGGAAAAGAAGTTGTACATGTCTCAGGTGAACATGCCAGCAGACGAGAGAGTGTAAGTAGGATTGTCATACCACACTAATATTATTAGATATACTTCTGATTGACTTTAAATATATCCTGGGCTCCTGGCCGCTCCTTACCTACTTTGTACTCATTACAGACTAGCTATATATTCTAAATGTGATGCAAATTTCCAAGTGATTTTCATACATTTATTAAGAATTGTGTCCCTGTATTAAAGGCACATTTTAATGTTTAACGATCTCCAAATATCAAAACATGTATTCATGTTTAACATTGATGTAAATGGAGGTCAAAATAAAGACTAAAATTTGAATTGCCCTCCATTAAATCTAGTTAAGTAGCTAGGTGTGCAGATGCCTACCTTCAAACAATTTGAAAACCCCCCACTTATTTGATATCGTCTTAGTAGTTGCTAAGGAAGCTTCCTACTTTCAGGTTTAAACAGGTGACATTTCAGAAAATAAGAATATCTTTTATGATTGTAGTATTCACTGTAATTTTCTTTGTTATTCAACATAAAACATGAAAGTAATGCACAGCAGGAGTTTAACCTAATTTCTTGTGTGCAGTGTTCCTGAACCTGGAGAGGAGGAGGAGGAGGAGGAGCAGAAACTACGTCTCCCCCACGCCAAACCTGAGACCTACATGTCATTCCAGGGCAGTGCAGCCACACACGTAGGCCAGATCCCTCCCTCCACTTCTGTCCTGGCACTATCCCTGTCTAGGAGTGGAGTAGGCCGTGGTAGTCAAATTGGTAAGTAAGCATTCACAGGAATATAAGACACTTTCATGCCCAGGGGCGTAGAAAGGGAAGTTCCAACCAAGGGGTTTTGCATTCTATTATTCGTATCACCATCGCATCACCATCATATCACCCTCGTTTTACCATGGTATCACCATCATATCACCCTCGTATCACCGTCGTTTTACCATCGTATCACCCTCGTATCACCCCCGTTTAACCATTGTATCACCATCATATCACCCTCATATCACCATAGTATCACCGTCGTTTTACCATCATATCACCCTCGTATCACCCCCGTTTAACCATTGTATCACCATCATATCACCCTCATATCACCATAGTATCACCGTCGTACTACCATCATATCACCCTCGTTAAACATCGTATCACCATAGTATTACCCTCATTTAACCGTCGTATCACCATAGTATTACCCTCATTTAACCGTCGTATCACCATAGTATCACATTCGTATCACCATAGTATCACCATCATATCACCATATTATCACCTTCGTTAAAACCATCGTATCACCATCATATCACCCTCGTATCACCCTTGTTTTACCATGGTATCACCAGAATTAGCTCAGAAACCACAGAAGGCATCACAATTTATGCATTGCAGCATCAGAATACTCCCGCTTTCATGATATCACATCAAAGTTGTTCACGTGATGTCATGTGCATGATGTCATGCACGTGACATTGGGTGTCAAATGGAAATTTGTCTTGGATTAAGGTAATGTCTTCTTAAATGTTGAACCCGATCGTCCTATGTTTTAGATGTACTAGATGGAAGAATACTTTGGGCAGCACTACGTTGTATTGTCTCTTCATGCTCCTTTGACCTTATTGATTGGGAGAATATACTGATGTTTTACGTATAAAAGATCAGGAAACCGTATTGATTGGGAGAAAATACTGATGTTTTACATATAAATGATCAGGAAACCTTATTGACTGGGAGAAAATACTGATGTTTTACATATAAATGATCAGGAAACCTTATTGACTGGGAGAAAATACTGATGTTTTACATATAAATGATCAGGAAACCTTATTGA